CAAAATGTATTAAATAGAGTAATAACTAATGCCATATGTTGTGTAAATATTGATGATTAGGCTTATTTTATCACCAATTTATGTCAAAAGTGAAAAAAATGCTGAAAAGAGACAATTTAATTTGCATGCACATGCAATTAAGTTTACCCCTTACCAGCACAACAGAATCTCTAGCTGCAATAGCAAGAATATCAGCACAAGAAACTGTCTCAGGACATACATATTCAAGATCAGCTTTTATGGCATCTATCACTTCAAACCCCCTTAAGGAGTTCGCGTTGGGAGCCGCGGTTTTCTCCCCAACGAAACCCAACGTGTCGTCGAGTAACACCGACGCGTCACATCCCTGAATAGGAAAAAGAAAAGAAAAAAAAATATTCTTCGCATTTAGTTAACCATAATTTACGCAAACACAAAATACTGGAAGTAAGAAAAAGTGCACTTGCGTCGACAAAGCAATCGTGAAAATGGAGACGGAGCAAAGAGGCAGCCATTCTCGGGTCATCGTAAAGCGCTTTTTCCACCCAAGAGAACACGATTGGTTCGGCTTCAGGGCAGCTGTTAATGTAGAAATTAAAGCTTAAAACGATGTTAGCATCGACACATGCTTCTGCCTCATACGATACCGTCGTGTTTGTGGTGTTGGCGAACGAAGCTGAAAAGTTGAGCAAGATTAAGTAGATAGTGGCTAAGAATATGCCCATTTTCATTTCTTTTTCTTTCTTTTTGACCAAATAACATTAATGAGTGAAATATGTGGATGCATGTTGGGGTAATTCGATGGGTTTATATAGAGGTTATTACAATTTGTACTTTATGAGACAATATTGTGTAGTGAATGATTTTGGTAAGGTGAAGACACGGTGAAGTGAAAAGAAATGGTCAGTTACTATTTAGAGGAAGTATGAGATGATCAGTCTGTAACTGTATACCTAATGCCATGTGCACCTTCTTGGACTCTTTCCTCAATCTCTCCTCCATTTTCCTTCTAATTTATGTTTAAAAAAGTAGGAGTTTGGTCTAATTAAAGTGAAACTCGACACAATTTTGGAACAGAGCACTCTTTTCATAAGGCCTTCAAATTAATGAATCACGAATGGCTCGAGTTAGGGCTTGACAAAACTCGAGCACCTCGAACCCGAACTAGAGCTGATCTCCAGCATAAAATTCACCAAGCTCGAGTGTTTAACGTGCTGCTCTGATATAAGTGTAATTTACTTTAATACCCCAAATCGAGCTAAATTCGACCAAATATCAAGCTGAATTGACCCAAATTATTTAGTGAACATTCAAGCTCATAAAACTGTGGAGCTTATGTCAAACAATTGTATATTTTTATGGAGCAAAATTTTGAAAATCATGGTTTGTTGATGTAACACCCACTTTGATTTTAAAGAAATCTCGGGCTTTCCAAAAATTAAGTAACATTTTTTCGAATTCATTTTCGAAATCAAGGGCATTATCAGAACATTTCCTTAGTCCAAGTTTTATCTGGACCCAAAGGAATTTATAAACCCGATTTTCACATATGGTTTTCATTAACCGAATCCACATCACATAATATAATACTCAACTGAATCATATGAATAATCGAAACCTCATATATCCAAGCATCATGAATATTCTAAAAACCAACTAAAGGGTTTAACAAAGTATTCCCAATTATCAAAACAAAAACATAGGTTTTGAAAACGGTTTTCAACATGTTTCAACATAGTTCATAAAAAGCGGAAGCAAAATGCAATAAATAAAGACCACCCACTTGTCTTGCCTCGTCACCCGCCAACCGCTTAACCTGCATCAATGAACAGCAGGTGAGAGTGAGCACAAATGAAACGTAGTGCTCACCGCTATGGACATAATAAATAAAATGTTAAGATGGTATGGTCGTAACATGAACATAAATCAATCATCCTCATGTCTCGTCTCCTAACAATATCACAACAATAACTCATTCATGTGCACATCTATCATTAGCCGCGAAAAAAGGATGCATAAACCCTAACGACGGGAGTGCGTACCACGCAAGGACAAGGCCTTTCATTAGGTTTTAAGGAGACTTGCCTCGCAAGGGCAACCGTACTGTAACTTGATGGGGACAACCGTACCAACGGCGATAACAGCTCACATCGGTAGGCCACATGGTTCACATGCATACATTGATCATACCAACTAAACACTTAAACACGTATGACATAGAAAATTTTATAAGTAAACCCACCTGGAATAGCAAGGGAGATATCACACAAAAATGAGTAGGCGGTGAGCTCGGCTCGTTAAGCACCTACATTAAGTCAAGACACTACAATCAACATCTTATCTTGACCATAGAAGAAAAATACAAATCATACTTAGTCGAACTTGATTCAACTAAGTCGTTCGTGGAGTTCTGTGGACATTGGAACACTTGGACCTAGCACATAGACTCGACTCGAAAACAATCGTGGGAAAAACACATAATTCAAGATGGTCAGGCTAACGAACGAATTAAGCTCTAAAGGTTTAATACAAAAGTCACACCACTGGACATAGGAATATCACCAAGTTTCATCCCTTAACTCAAAATATCCCATTTTATAAAATTAAACCAAGTTTTCAGCAAAAACGAGCACAATTTCAAAGCCTGACCAAATGAACGAATTAATGCTTGAATTTTTTACAAAGGAAACTACAACATGTGAGGATCTATATATAAAATTTCCAGCTCGAAACATCAAATACACGATTTATAGAAATTATGACAATATTCAACAGAGAATTCATATTAATTAAAAACCTATCATAACGAACATAATAAATTCTGAAACTTTTATGCCACATAATACATCATAATAGAAGTACACACCAAATTTCAGAAATTTACAGCAAAGGACCGATTTTACAAAATTAAAACAAGTTTCAGGAGAATATTACAAATAATTATTTATCCTAGCAAATGAAGTCCAAAAATTATGAAATTTTTACACGACATCCAAATACAAAAGAGAGACATCATATTCAACTTTCAGGCAAATTAGAGCACAACTCTATTATGCAATTTACAAGATTCTGCCCAGAAATCAAAATAATTATTGAAAATAGCTACAGTTGGAATTAAATCATGAAATTTTTACAAGTCTCATATAACCATCAGAGGATATCACATGTCAAAAAGCAAATCATTTGGAGCAGTAGGCGATTTATGAAGAATTTAACAACATTCAGAAGCTAGTCGACTTACAAAAATCCACACAAGACTCGAAACAACACATTTTTTGTCGAAGGCCTTTTTCATAAGGCCAAGGACTCATCCAAGTTCCAAAATCCACAGCCCTACATGTTTATAACAAGATCCAGCATGATCTCAAATAAATCAAATACAACTCTATAAATAAACAATTAATTAAGACCCTAGTCATGCAATATTACTAAAGCATCACAAGAGTACATATATATATCAAAATTAAGGGAGGTTATCAGCCCGGTACCGTTCTCGGAAGACGCACGATAAACGAGCAACAGAAAGGCCGAACGGGGCTGAGGGTACGCTCGTGAGGGGCTCGACAACTCACGTTTGGCTCGCCTGGGGTGATGCGCGTAGCTGGGGTCGGGGTTCTTCGTCTGTGCACGACCGACGGTCGTGGAGAGTGCTGGTGGTGGTTCGCGATGGACAACAGCGATCGAGCATGGGGAACTCGCGAGCAGGGACTGCTCGACAACAACGGTGGTACGCGGCTGCGGGACGCGGTGATGAAGGATCGTGTGTTTCGGTTCCACTCGCTTGCCTCGAACACAGCCTCGCCACGACTTGCTCTCGACAGATAGGTGTGATTGACTCGGTTATTAGCCTAACTCTCTCACGATACTTGAGTTCACTCGGTAATTAGCCTTGCTCCCTCGATTTTGAAGTAGCTCGGGTCTTAGCCTCACTAATTTGATTGCATGATCGAACTCTCACGAATCCTAACACACGGTTTGAACAAACGTTCTTTTATATTCACTCATCAATTTCAAGACATTAAAAACAATGAGGGGATACCCCTATTTATAGGTGCATAAAATAAATCTAAGCCTAAGCTAACTAGATCTCCTAATTTTAGAATGAAAAGCAACATGGTAATAAAATCCTAATACTACTATTATTATTCTTGCTTGACTTGCACTCCAATCCAAAGTCTTGAACTCCAAGTCATGTGCCCCAAATACTTCGGCCGCCTCACAGCCGTGCACGCCAAACTCTAACCGCCCTTGCGCGCGGCACCGCCCTTCGGATGCCTACTTCTAGTCGCGCGCGGCTTCGCTCGCGCGCGCCTCCCACGCGTCATCCGCCGCCTCCACTTTTCCTACTTCTATGCGGCTTGGGTCGTCTGCATCGTACGCGCACGCCATCGCGCACTCCCAGTAGCCGCCGCCTTCCTCTTGCACGTGCGCGTCCGCGCCCGCTATGCCTACTCCTACTCGACCTCG